CAGCAGCGACGCAGCAGCGACGCAGCACCTCTCACGTGACGTCATGACGAAGCAGACAGAGCGACGACTGGCTCTCATGTTTATAAACAGATGCAGAGTAAATGAGAGAGTGGACGGGGGACGCGGTGGTCCACCTGGGTTATACATTCTTCAGGAGACATTTGATAAATATAAATACTGATCTAAGTATTGAGTGAAATAATAATCACATTAATGAGAACGTTTTTAAGGTAGTTGATTATTTCTGCATGTAAAGCTGAACGTACCTCTCTGGCACTCAGGACGTCCTGAAGTATCTGAGCAGCTTTCGGCTGCTTCTCCTTGTATTGGTCGAGGAGGTAGTTCTGTCGGGCTCGTTTAATGATCTGGCAAAAAAAAAGGAAATTCAAGTATGAAGTAAAATAAATTTAAACAAATAAAGACAAAAATAACGACCGTCCTGATTCATGGACTGAAGACAGAGTCCAGGGCTTTTCCAGCACCACACTGATAAATGACCAGACAATTATTGTTTCACCTTGACATAGTACATCAATATATTACCCAAGAATACACAAACATGCTGGGACACAAGAAGACGATGGACGGACGGTCCACCTGTGAACAAACTGGTGAAGGAAAAGTTAATGATCCACACTCACTTTGTCGTCTATGTCTGTGATATTCATGCAGTAGAGGACGTCATACTTGAAGTAGTCCCTGAGAATCCTTCGCAGAATATCGAACGATATGTAGGATCTGAAGACAAATCATTTTTGTTAAGACAAGACAAACGTTGAGTGAACTGAGTTATTATCATGTTTTGATCTGATTGCTTCACCTGGCATGTCCCATGTGTGAGGCGTCATAAACTGTGGGTCCGCAGCAGTACCACGTCACTTTATTCCCTTTCTGAGGAACAAATGGCTCCTGGAACATCGAGACGACACATTTTCATGAAATCTGTGGATATTTGTATGACCTGTGTGTCTGTGGACGTGGAACCAGTTTGACTCCCTAAAGAGAAGAAACCTAATAACTGTGATCACATCGGGTTTATGATTCACAGCCTGTGATGGTTTTACAGTTTCCAGTGTTTCGCTCGTCAAAGCCACTGAACTGCTCTGAGAAAAGACAGCAGCATGTTGAACACAAATGTGACCATCAACCAACTCTGATCCAAACTGAAGTCAAACCTGGCTTCTTTCTTTTAACGTCTGCTTCCTGAGATAAATGACGATGAACGCTGACACACAAACACCGACATGGATTTAAAATGTGCGTCACGTACCTTCTCTCTGGTCAGACTGTTGTACAGCAGAAGTTGTGGAACATCTGTTCCTGCTGGTGGAGACCAGGGAGGCTGGACACGCTTTCCCTTCACTGAACATGAAAGTGACACAAACACAGAAACTTTAGAAGCAGAAACATTTATTCAAATCAGCACTTTTTATTGTGTTAAATATTTGTTATTATGATCTCGAGCTCGATCACACACACACACACACACACACACACACACACACGATGATTAGATATTGTTTCTAAACCCTCGAAACAATATCCAGTTTCCTGAAAATGCTTCACTTCTGTGTGTTTCAGTTTCTCTTTGGTCACCGCAGTTTGTTTGAACAGTGATAGACTGTTAGCGCTGAGCTACGAGCTCCAGTCCACAAACAGTGACTCATAAGGAAAGAGAGAGTTCAAACTGAATTCATTCAAATGCCCGTTACATGCCGGTGTTTGCAGAGCTGCAGGTTAGAGTCGATTTAACACTAATCGATGTCAAACAGCCTTGAGACCAAGAACACGTTGAGCCTGCTCATGCCTGTCTACTCACTGCTGCTCTCAGAGGGGACGTCCTGCTGCAGGGCGGCTACGTGTCTGTACCAGCGCAGAGCGTGGACATGCTGTGGGTCTGGGGGCCTGTGGAGGAGCTTAAAGACTTTGTGGTCGGCCTGGGAGAAGCTGAACCCAGTCAGGTAGCTGCGCGAGGTTAGGTAGTCATTCAGGGACACGGCCAGCGTGGCCTCCTCATTTATCTGTAGCAAGAAGCCATAGTCAAAGGCTGCAGAAACAAGAGGGCAAACGTTCGCAGAGAATTACAGACGAGGCCACAACAGCCAGAGACAACAACACTGACAAGTTTGATCACCAGCGACTAACTATATGATATTTTCATTTGAAATGACAGGATGCATGAACGAGTGTTTTCCTGTTTCTACAACATCCTGCTCTCTGGACTGAGTCGAATGAGAAGTCGTGTGATTTTACTAGAAACAGCAACAGGAACAATAATGACGCTCTGAAACGTGAGTCACATGACCAGCGGGAGTGGACATTGTCTCTGGCCGTGGTGCTGGATGAACTGTGACACAAACACTGCAGGGACGTGGAACTGAGGGATCGTGACGCTGCAGGAGAAAATCTCTCTGAACGGGATTCAAAGTACGAGCAAAGAAACAAAGCAGCAGAAAAAGGCTCAGAAATCTGATCTGACCAATCAAACAATGATCCTGTTGAATTCTCCAACCACACACAGTGAAATCCTCAAAGCTCAACAGGGTCTTTGATTTACTTTCTCTACGCATGACTTCAATACTGAAACTGAAAGATCTAGTGAAGTGAGAACACAGAGCGACAGTTAGGGAGGAAGGAGGAGATGGATGAACTGAAGACGCTCTCGAATGATCCACAAATGTTTGAACGTGAGACAGAAGTGAGTGAGGAGCTTGTACACGAACATGAAGTGTGGAGAAATAAAATCAAAGCAGAGACTTTAAGGTGAAGCGGTGTCTTTGATGATTCCTCATAGTTTGAATTGTCTCCACTCAGGAAGTGATGCTGTCTGTCTGTCCTTCTCTCTCTCTGTCTGTCTGTCCTTCTCTCTGTCTGTCTTTCTCTCTGTTTGTCTGTCTGTCCTTCTCTCTGTCTGTCTGTCTGTCCTTCTGTCTGTCTGTCTGCAGGATCACAGATCCAGATTTCCATGAAACGTGGAGATTTAACATTTTTATACAGAAAATAATTCATGCATCTAAATAAAAAAGACCCCCCCCCGGTTTTAATGGGAGGTGTTGAAATGTTCCTGTGGAAGAATGAATTAGCAGCTGATCTTTAATGAGAATCATTAACTGTCTCATTCAGAATCATTAGAAAACATGTTGGTTTCATTTCTCAAGCATCACTGTGGCTTTGATCTGTGGATCAAACCACGCTCCCTCAAAACATCCGGGGTCTTATTTGTTGTCCTTTGATCTTCGGTCGGTTTTTTAAAAAGCAGCTCTGTCTGTGACCGGATGACAGGGTTAGCTTAGCGGCTAACAAAGCTAGCGTTAGCTCCCGCTGTGACAGCTCGTGGAAAACACGTGAAACCCGTCGCTGCGTCACTCTCGAGTTCGAGCGCGATGGAAACGGAGGAGTTCTGTACCTGGATCTGCGGAGGTCGACATGACAGCTGCGCTCCGGTGCTGATGCAACAATAACGTGTCCGGAAGAAGAAGAAGAAGAAGAAGTGTGTTACATGCTAACACCAGGAACCGGAACCAATGCGTTCGAACCACACAGCTGTGGGGGGGGGGGCAGGAAGGGAGCGGGGACACAGATGACTGACGGACCGCCTCACCCGGAAGTTTGTGTTTGGTGTTTGAAGGAGCAGAGACACTCGGGACTCGAACTTCCAGCGTGAAAAGTGGCTCCGACCGGGTCACGGGGAAATGTCGCGCCTCAAAGAACACGTGGACAAACTGACGCGTCTGTACGAACGTTACACCGAGTACGTGCGGAGGAACCCGGCGGCCACCGCGCAGCTGGAGGCCACCGTGAGGACCGTGTCCTACCTGATCGCAGGTCTCTGCACTCACCCGCTGCTCACATGTCCGCTGGAGCTTCGACCCGAGCGGGACTCGAACCTGAGGGGAGATTCAGATCAGATCACATGACCCCAGTAGACAACAGGAAGTACTAACAAGTAACACGCAGTACTTCAGTACTTCAGTGTTGTACAAATATAGAAACATGTGGATGAATGAAGCTGAGACAGTCAGTCCTCCCCCATCATTATATACATTATATACATTATATATTATATACATTATATATACATTATATATATTATATATATTATATATACATTGTACATGAAGTTCATTTAAAGGTGTTAAAGTTAAACCAGTGACTTCATGAGCTGACTCTTGTTTTTCAGGGCGATTTGCTGATTCCCATGAAATCTCTGAACTCGGTGAGTGAAGCTGATCGTTCTGTCCACGGCTCCTTTCTGTCTCTGAGTCTAAATGTAGAGTCTCAGGTTGTTTCCTGCTCAGGTGGGTCGTGTTCTCCTCCACGTGTTGTTCTCGTAGAACTCAGTGACGCTCGTCTCTCTGTGTCTCTTCCAGTTTACTCTGCCTCCAATCTCCTGGTTCTGTTCAACGACAGCATTCTGCGTAAAGGGCTGAGACGTGCGCTCCCTGTGGTGAGCCCGATGTGTTTCACCATAATCTCACGTTTGAATCCACAGAACAACAAATGCTGAGTGTGAGAGTTTCATGTCGGAGCTCCGCCCTCAGGGACAGTAAACAGAAAAGTGTGACGGTGTTTTAACTTCAGGGTTTTTTAAACACATGAGATATTTGAGCTGCAGCAGCTCAACATCCTGAGTATCAATCAGCTCAGGAGAGACGGACACAGGGTTCTCCTGTTAGCTCCAGTCTGGACTTGATGATCCAGCCGAGGAGATAAGAGCGTCAGATAAAAGCCCTCTGACCTTCACACGCTGTGACCTTCACACGCTGTGACCTTCACACGCTGTGACCTCGTGTCTGTCTTCACGAGTCGTCGAGTTTCAGTTAGAATGTGGTGTTGTCTCCGTTCTGTCGACTGGAAGTGAAATCGTCTGTGTGTCTCTGCGTCCAGACTCTGTCTCAGCAGAGACTCCTGACCTGGCTCTCTGTGCTGGAGTATCTGGAGGTGTTCCTGGAGATGGGAGCCTGCAAGCTGTGGGGGGATGTCGGCCGCTGGCTGGTGATCGGACTCATTCAGATCTTCAAGTATGGTTCAAAACTTCAGTCGAGTTTAAACAGAAGAAATCACCTTTATATAATTTCTGCATTTGAGAAGAAATAAGCAGCTAAATGTTCCTGAACACATTCAACCGTCTCATGTGAAACGTGTCAGGGTCACACGTCCTCGTAGCCACGTAGCACAGACAGGAAGTATGTGTTGAGCTTTGACACGCGACACAGAGGTTGTGTTTCCATGTTTTTATGGTTAAATCGTGTCTGAGATTTGCTTTTGTTTAGAATAATAACAAAACAAAAAAGTGAAGTGAGGAACCTCGTGCTTCCTGTTGCTCTGTTACGTCACCAGGACCATTTTCCGCTTCGTTCTCCTTCTGTGGTACAAATCTGGGATCCAGACTTCACCTCCCATAATCCCCCTGGACCGAGGCGCAGAACTTGTCAATGAAGGTCAGTTTCACATGTGGAACCATCACTCACTTGTTTAAGTGTGTACAATAACTGTGTGTGTGTGTGTGTGTGTTTCCCCTCCTCTCCTCCACAGATGACGGTGACGGCGAGCCGGAAGATGTAACCTGCTTTGTGGGTCAGAGGTCAGGACGAGTCATCCGGCCGCTGGGCAGTGGTAAGAAAACGTCTTTAGTGAATGAAATGTAAAATCTATTGAACATGAGAGATCTGAGCTCCTGTGGACTCCTGACGTTTCTGTGTTCCTCCGCTGACGTAAATATGAACATCGCTTATTCATCCATTATCAATTTCACATATTCTTTGAGGGGCTGGAGCCACAAACCACTGTACCACCGTCCCATCTGTCGCACAGAAATATTTAAATGTTGTACCAGGCACAGAAAGTACCTTCATCTCGTCCTGGCAGGTCCGTCCCTGCAGGCCCGGCTGTGGGGAGCACCGAGTCAGAAGAAGAGCAGCAGCTTGAGGGAGAAGCTCCACAGCAAACCCACACAGCTCAGACTCCAGGAGACCATCGCGGAGTCTGTGTACATCGGGCGGCCTCTGATTCACTGTATCCTTCACAACCATCCTGCAAACATTAGGGCTCTCAGCTGGATCCTCGTGAGAAGAACGGGGAAACCATTCATGACGTCTGATCACCCACAGTAGATTTTATATTTTGATCGAGTCTCCGGAGGTTTTACGTGATCTCGTGTTTCTCAGAGGTGAAGAGCAGATTCAGAGTCAGAGTAAAGAGACGAGGACGTGCTGCGGAAAACTGCTGCTGCCTCAGATTAAAGCTGTTTTCACTCACTGAAGATTGTTCTGCATGAACGTCTCTGAGTTTAAGAGGGCGCTGTGAGTGTGTGAGGGAGAGAATGTGTGTGTGAGTGCAGACGGAACGATGAGGACTGAGCTACATGAGCAGCGAGATGAGATGAGACGTAGAGGAAACAGCACAAAGAGGAAAATGAAATAAACTAATAGAAATCAGCAAATGAGATAAAAACACATTTGCGACATAAAGATAAAAGTTGTGTGATTGTGAAATTTGTTATAAGTATTATTTAACTCTTCAGTGAAACACAGCCTCGACGTGACGAGGACATTTCTTCAGAGTTTATTGTCCGTCCATGTCTTTGCTTCCTTAAGTCAAACCTCCCCGTGGACAGTGCTCTGCCTCGGACTCTGTGGGAAACAGTCCTGGAAGCCGTGGCTCGTCTCCGGCGTCCTGGAACTGTCCAGGTGAGGAACTTCTGCTTCGCAATGAAATATAAATGTGTTCTTTGTTATCGTCGGACATTATGTACGTTCTTCCCACGCGGACACGGGGAGAACATACTGCGAGTGGTTGTTTGTCTCTGTACGTCAGCCCCGTGATTCGCTAACAGCCTGTCCAGTTAACCCCGCCTCTCGCTGATGTCAGCTGTGTGGGAGGAGCTGGATGATTTGGTCTGATGTTACTCATGCAGATGTTCCACGTTTGTTATTCAAACCCAAAGAACCAAAATGAAAAGGAGATAATGGAAAGAAAAGCATATTTAAATAAGTGACGTGGAAGAAGTCCAATCCTCCCAGTCGTCGTTCTTCTTCCGTCTCTCCGTCACGTGAAAGGAGTGAAGGTCAGAATCGTGTTTCAAGTCTTCAAGTTCGTAATCGTCACAGTTCACAGCTTCGTCTTTAGTCTTCCTGCAAAACTTGGAGGATCGGACGACCTGTTGCCCAGAGGCGTAAAAATCGTAATCGCTCAGCGCTGCGCAGATCATAAGAAAGGATTGTTCGAAAGAATTCTCCTGAGGCCTCACGTGTGGTCCGTTCTGTCACTCAGAGAATCTCACTCCTCTCCCTGACAAGTGATCTCTGAATAATATGAAGCCGGGTGAAGTTCTCCTGTTCCGTGTCTCGGCTCAATCAATAAATCGGTCACTTGAAGAGTTTAATGAGACGACTCAGTTATTTCTCTCTCCAGCTTCGCCGTCCTCAACGAAACCAAATTTCAGAATCGCTGGGAGCGAGCGGAGATGAGGAGGAGGACGTTTCTCCTGCTCTACTACCTCCTGCGTTCACCTTTCTACGACAAATTCTCTGAGTGAGTATCTGACTCACTGGTTTTCATCATCTTTTATTCCAGTAATAAAATTGCAGTTTAATAAACGTGATTGTTTCTTCACCGGCAGAGAAAAGATGCTCTTCCTGCTCAGACTCCTCGCTGATCACGTGCCAGGAATCGGACTTGTTGCACGTAAGTTCTCAACATCAAATATCTCTGACAAAAGAAATCAACACGTTTGGAGAAGAACATAATAATACAAATATGAATAATGATGATGATTATTATTATAAATCTCCACCAAGTTTTCTCTGCTGTTCCTCAGTCAGCAGGATCACAGGATTGGACCTGAGAGGATGTGGAACGGGTCAAACAGGGAGATTTTAAAAGTTTGTTGATTTCAGAGAATAATTTAGGACTGATATTTACGAGTTTGTATAATCTGGTGCAGATCGGTTGAATTTCAGGGGCAGTTGTGTTCGTTGGGGTTTTTCCTGACAAAATTCTCGTGGAACCTTAGTCATCACGTTTGTCTCAGACCAAGTTCATCAGCAGTGGATCACTAAAAGAATCGTGTCGCTTCTGTACGAAATGTCTTTCTCTCTGATTTCAGTGAAGAACTTTGAACTATTGGTTTGTTGTGAGGAACAGAATGAAACCTGGAGCTGCTTCTCTCCTCAGGCCCTCTGATGGATTATCTTCCCACCTGGCAGAAGATCTACTTCTACAACTGGGGATAAACCCTGAGTGGATTAAGGATCATTTGATTTGCGGCGGCGATAAAGGACGTGTGGGGTCGTCACCTCACACAGAGCTTCCTGCTGTCATCCCCCAGGCATCAGAGAAAACTCTGCGGAGACGACTTCCACTGCTGCACCTTCTTCTAACGACACTTCCTGTTTCCTGTCAGAGATTAAATGGAGATCCTGAACATCCTGAACGTCATTTCAAAGAATCAGATTGTTTCTGACTCAACAAAGAGCTTCAGCGAACGAGAACAATATTTTCTTGATGAACTTAATAATTGAGTTCGATTTACACTCATGTGTACGATGAAGACACTGATGATGAAGATGTTGTCTCGTTTCATTCTCTCTCTCTCTCTCTGTTCCTCCCTGAAGCTCTGTCATTCGTCTGTTGAGAGAAAACTTTACTGAGATGTTGTCGTCACCAGCAGGAATAAGATTTGAATTCAGTGTCGTTTGTCCCGAGCTACTGAAAACCACAGGAAGCTCCGGCAGCGCGTCAGCGCCAAACCGAAGCAAATAAAATGAGGAGGAAGAATTTTACTCCTTTAAAGGATAAAAAAACTAAACCAGAGATTTAATCTCTTGAGATATTTTGTTGAAGTGGTCAGATTCACAAACTGTTAAATGTTTCTTACATTTTAACTTTATTCTCATCATCAGAGTTAAATAATGTGTTTCACTGAAGATTGTGCGTCAGTCTCGTTCTCGTGAACTCGATATCTCAGAATATCTGGAGAACGTTCACTCAGACTCGCTGATAAGATTTGAGCAGAGGTCAAAGGTCACTGTGAACTTGACCATGAAACGAAAACACGTTCCAGACTCAGTGAGTGTGTGTGTGAGTGTTTCAGTCAATGACTTGCACACAGCCGAGGTTTTAAATCTTTATTAACATACTGAATACGTTTCTTTTTGTAGCCTACAAATAAATAGTTGAATGCTTCTTCCTTTCGATCTGCGTGGTTTGTAATTTCTCGTGGTTGAACACAATCTTTCAATACGTTGTGAGTCTCGTGTCGCGAGCAGAAACAGACGGTTCAGTGGGTTTGAGTTCACTTGCATGCGACCTGGTCAGTGTTACAAAGACTGAAATGGTTCTTTGTTTTTTTTTTTATCGTCGGAAACGTAAAAGATAAACATGTAAACTGACGACATCGGACTTTCAAAATAAAAGGTTTAAGTGATGAGGGGAAAATGGCAGCATCCGCAGAACGTGTTGAGGTTCATCATCAGTCGAAGTCAAACGGAAATGATGCATAGACACAACAGAGTCGTTGTTTTCTGAGCTGGGAGTTACGTCAACTTTAACAATAGTCTGGGTTTAATTTGAAATCTCCAATAGCTCCGACACCACGAACCAGAAGTATCGGACTCTGAGTCCCTCGAGTGCTTCCTGGGTTCAACTTCCTGTCAGAAGACAGACGATGAACAACCACAGCAGCGAGGACGTCAGATGTTTGACACTTCAGGGATTCGGTGAATTGATCCTTCACCCAGATAGAAACACATGATCCCGAGCTCACAACGATCACGACGGTGTCGTCAGTGCTGAACGTAAATGAAACAACCTGTGGATTCAGATTAACACTGAAAGATGAAAATATAAACCGTGACTTTTTTTAATATCATGATAAAAACAAGATGAAGAAGTTCGGAATAATCATCAGAAACGACACTTTGATTCATGTAGAAGGAATAAAATATAGAAGAGTTAACTCTGAAAATCTAAGACCAAAAAATTCTCGGTGGTATTTTACAACATGACTCTTGGCTTAAAAAAAGACGACACCGCGATGGTTTCCTTTAAGAAAATAAAACAAGAGTCTGCTAATGAGAACGAGAGAAGAAAATACTGTCTCACTCCTGTAAAACTGTCTCTAGAGGGACGAGGGACTTCTCCTCCCCATGCAATCGTTTCCCCGTCTCTCCCGTCCGTCCAGTCCAAACGCTCGTGGTCAGTCAGGAGGCTGGTCGCTCTACACGGGCGTCAGTACGTCTTCCCACGGTCGGCACTGATCAGTAGGAGCCGTAACGATCCTGAAGAGAAAACAGGGAACAATTAGAAATGTTGAGGTCGACGAGGTTTGAAGATCGTCAAACAGGTTTGGTCGTCATTCAGTCAGCTCGTGTTTCCTCGTAACGTGGACTCAGACTGATTTGAGTTTGATTCAAAGGAGGCGGGGTAGGAGGCGGGGTTGGAGGAGCAAAGTGAGACGTCCAATGACTCCTGCTGTCTCACCTGGATCGTGTTCATGACCCCGTTGGCGAGGACGGCCATCTTGCCCGCTACAGACTTCACACCCTGTTTGAACTGTGCGATGTCAGGGCCCGAGGGGAGCACGCCATCGAAGCCAGCTGCCCTCCCTGCGGAGGAGGAGGAGGAGGAGTTAGTTTCAGCAGAATATACATTAGTAAAAAGGACGGGATGAAATAAAATCTCTAAAGTTTGTTAATCCTGAAAAACAACACCTCTCACACCAAAGCTCCGCCCCCAAAACACGTGAACGTACACTGACAACTTCCAGAAGACGCCTTTGACTTGACGCCAGTATTGTCTCTGCTTCAGCTGAGGACGTCCCTCAGACTGAAGACTCGTGGAGTCGAGAGGTTTTCAAATAATCCGATAAGTGTTTCAGAAGCAACCTGACATTTAATTTGTAGAGGCCGAAGATCAGAGAAAGGTTTGAGGACAAAAGGACAAACTAAATCTTCATGAGTGTGTGAGTACAAACCCACAGCGAACATCTCGTTCTCACAGGAGCCGTGTTCATCAGAAACCTGATGAACCTGATTCCTCTGAGCTCCAAAGCTTTAGAGAGAAGTCTCACACCAGTGAGACACAACAACACAACAACTCCCGCCTCGTTCTTTTCTTCATCGCGCAGATCAACAGGACTCACCTTTATGGTCACTGCCGTCTCCGAACAGGTCGGCTGAACTGATGGAGGTGCTGCCGGACATGCTCTCCAGTCTCGTCTTAGCATCGTACTGAGAAGAGCGGAGATTTAAAGCTTCAATATCAACTGTTCCGCTCAGAGAATCTCTCGTTTTTGTTTGAAACACGAGTGCAGGTGATGTTTCTCACCTCGGCGCTGCTCTCCCGACCAAAGAACATGTCGGACGAGATCGCCTTTGCGTTGGCGAACTTCTGCCTGGCCTCGCTCGACTCTGACACCGGAGCCGGCACCTCAGCTTTTCTCCTGCTGGGAAGTCTGGGTGAAACACGAGGCCACACATCAGAGCTGCACCGCCCAGTTTGAAAAGGTGGAGAAAATACAGAGCGTGTCTGAACGTCTATGTGAATACCTCTCTCCAATCGGCTGAATACTAGAGATGGTGACCTCCTCTTTGGGGTCCTCCTTCTCCAGAGCCCAGGACGTGGAGAAGGAGGCGCCTCCTCCCTCAGTGTCCCACCGAGATCCAAAACTATCTCCCACTGTGAACGGGTTGTCCTTATACCTGAAACATCACAGTAGATTTAGTTCTTTGCTCCCACTCATCTTATCTGACGTGGGTTTGTTTGTGTGTCGTGTACTTCGGGGGTCCGGAGGTGAAGCCCGGCTCATCAAACATGTCCAGTTTGGAGCGAGAGGACGAGGATTTGGCTCCAACGGGAGTTTCCTGCTCGATCACCTGCATCTCTGACATCACGGAGTGAGACACGGCACTGAAACAGAATGTGCACATTCAGAGACGCTCTGCTCATGAATCAACCTGACAGCACAAATGTTCGATACCTGAGTTAAGAGAACGACAGAAAGAGAGAAAACTCTTGATCGTCTGCAGAGAAACTTTGGAGAATGTCTGCACGATGGAGCCGAGACGTTCTCTGGAGTTTGTCTTTCACACGTGAAGAACACGAGGGGAGACTGACTGACACGTTCACTGAGAATGTTCTGCTGCAGAGATCACGTGTTTTAGTTTTTTAGTCTTGTACGTGTGAGGCTCTTTTCATCGTGAGATATTTAAATTCTTTTGTTTTCATCAGTTCAGGAGCTTTTACTCGGGGCAGGCAGGACAAACTCCAGAAACAGCACCTGACTTGGACATTTTCATTCTCACAGTCTCTCTGGATAACTTCAGGAGATTATCCCAAGTTCAGTGCCGGTCTCAAAGCAGTGATCTCAGTAAGACAACAACCTGATTGTGCTGTGACGTTACCTCCTGTTTCCGAAGCCCATGCCCAGTCGCTCGGCCTGCTCTCTCTTCTTGCCCTCCATGTTCTGAAGCTTCTTTTCCTCCATCTTCATGTCGATCTCCAGTTCTTTGTAAGCCAAGCGCATGGAGGCCACACTGCACGAGTGAGTCGAATCCCACATGGACGTATGCAAAGAGGTTTTAAAAAACATAGAATGGGAGAGAATAAGCACCAGCAACATAGAACCTGACGGTATTAAACCTGATTAGTTCAGATAAACTCATCTTACATGGATTCCTCGGCTTGTTTCTTTGCCTCAGCGACCTGCTCCTCTCTGAGCTTCTCAGCTACTTGTGCCTGTTTCTCCACCTCAGAGAAACTCTTACTGCTCACCTTCTGGGCTCCCAGGCCTTTCTTTGCTCCCAGCTGCATGAGGGCGAGAGGATGTGGTGCACATCAGTCACAGTCACAGATCTTTACATATAGGCCTGGGCCGATAATCAATAAATCAATTAATCGCACGATAAATTAAAATGAACTCRATAATTTTTCCGGCCTCGATATATCGCCATGTTCATGCGTGTGTGTTTTCCTCGTCTCTTGCCTCCAAGCAGGTTGGATGACATGAGGGTTCACTCTGTGCTCGGTCTCAGCACCTGGGGCGTTTGTTCCATAGCGGAATGAACGGAGTGAACCCTCTTGTCAGTCATCCAGYCTCTTTGTGTCTGTGGGGGGAGGCGGGGCCGCTAGCATCAGCTCCACACACACAGTGAGTGAGCGTCGTGCGGAGCAACGCGAGGAAAAGAGATGATTGCAAAGTCAAACGCCACAGCCCCGGTGTGCAACACAACAACCTGCCCACATAAAGCACAACCACCCGACCCAGTTTAACCAGCCGGGAAACAAAGTGCAGCTCGAGATGCAGAGCCTTCGTCCCGACAGTCAACACCCACTGAGGCGTTCGGTCGACAAAGTCAATATAAACGGAGCAGAGCAGAATGGTGTTGGCTCACAGAAAGTGAAGTTCACTACATCGTTTAAGAAATGCTTCACTTTAGTACAGTTGAAAAGTCAGCATTGAGAGATGCTGCAGACGTTAGACAGAACGAATTATCTGCGAGAGAATAGACGTCACAAACTGAACCTGAATGTTCAATATTTATTCAAGCGCAATTTTGTTTGTCGAGACTTGATAAGACATTTTATTTATTGTTTTGTTTGTGTGTGGTTTTATTTTGAGCGCTGTTTTTGAGAGTCCATTATATTTTTTGTTAATTGTTTTTTGTTTGTTTTATTTATTTAGGATATTTAAACGTTCCTGAAATCGCGATGGTGAAAAACACTGAGAGATAAAAGTTGATTGTATTTGAAAGGGTGTGAATTATTAGGAAATATTATCATGTTGACAATATGTCGTCCAGCAAAATGTGTTATCGTGCCGGGCCTATTTACATATCAAGAGTGGGGTTCGACAGTTTGGAGCAAAGTTTCACATGAAATCTCGGCCCTGAAAACTTCAAGAGTGAAAATAAACGTGATCCCCACTGTCCCAAGTTTCAGAACACACAGAATGGTTTGCTTCATAAACACTTCCAGGCTTTAACCACGACGACTCGTCATTCTCACTGTTAGACTTGTATTTGGACGAGCTCGCGGGCCGACTAGAGCGGCTTCAGCTTCACTGACAAACAAAACCAGCAGAACCAGAAACCAGATCATTCTTATTCTTCTGTCTGGAGAAATGTTCTCAGTGACGGGCCAAGCAAAATTAATATCGATCAAATCTGACTTCAAGACAGTTTGATTTGTAAAATTGAATTTAAGATGTTTTAAGACTTTAAGGACGCTTTGACAAATAATGGACGGACACAGCTTGTCTGCTGCAGACACAATTTCAAAATAAACTAAATGTCTGTATGTCTGAAGAATATTAAAATTTCCCCCAAATATCTTTATTTTATTTAGGCTATTTACCCAATTTATGGGCAATTGTGTGATTTCAGCTCAGTCTTAAAGTTTTCACATAAATCCCTTCTAGTACAACGATGGAAGTGTTGACTCCACATGACCAACATCAGCATCACCTGTCCACCTCCATCATCACATCCAGCAGAGGACGACAGGAAACAAACACTTAGAACCTGATCATTATTCACAGCAGACGACTTTCAAATACTTCAAGGTTTGTGATGAAGTAGTAAGTAGTATTATTTTACTGAATATTTCCTGTGCCTCCATTTCATTGGCTTCATGGTTTCTCTCTTCGTGGTTTGGTGAAATTATGACTCACCCCTTTTTTGGCAGCCATGGGCTTCTTCTTCCCAATGATGGACGGTTTCACATCTGAAACACGAGAAGAAGAAAAGTGTAAAAACTGCAGCGTGTTGTCTTCACACCATCTCAAGAACACAAGCTCCCACAGAGGGTTTTTACTGTGCGACACACAGACTGTGAAGAAAGATGGACGACACGACAGATGCCCAAAAGTGAAGCCAAAGCGTCTGAATCCCCCCGGTGGCCGGCTGCAGTATAGGTCATTAACCACATCTCCTCCATGTAAACAGACGGAGAAAAACCTCAGACACCAAATGACGTCATTGGCAGAAGACGGCCGTGTTCACACCGTCGATATTTTTGCTTCATTTTTTTAACAAAGTGGAGACGTGTCGTCCGTCTTTATTTACAGTCCTCGATGCGACCCGTCAAACATCACAGAAACACAAAGCGTGACGCTCGGCTTCACAAAATCTCAGATGCTGAACTACTTTGACTTCTATCACTTGTTTTGCATGAGAGAAATATTAAAAAGCTTCCCGCTCACATAGCACTGGTGTTAGCTCCCAGGAGAACGTGTCAGGCAGAGATATAATGAGAATAAATATTTGAGAGAAGGGTAGGAACTTAAAATTATAGATGCATTAGGGGACAACATTTTTTCCGCTGCACCAGGCGACAAACAGTGTTATTAGTTCTTTCATTCCACCAGTCAGTGACGTGTTATCCCCAGGTGCTTCTGAAGTTCTCATCACAGTGATGAGCTGCAGGTATGTGAGACAGCGCCGCAATGACTGCTCTCCTCTCACATAACCTCTAATAACACCGGGCGTTGTCCCACCCAGAGAAACGTGTCAAACAGCAGATGCTAACAAAAAAAATAGCATTCAAATATCACAAGTTATTTCCACTGCGTCATGAGCAGAGAGGAGAGCGGCTGTTATGATGCGAGTGAGGCAACACGACCATGCGTCTGCAGCAACCAGCGCAAACTGACACCACGCTAATCACCTTTAAGTGTCCGTCCTTCCTGTGACGACAAACGCATGGAGTCGTCTGCGAGACAAACCAGTCGCCACGATCATGATCCAGACACACAAGGGGCTGATTTTACACAGTCATACAAACACTGACGCTTGGACTTTAGTCACAGACGCTGTCGATGACATAATCAGGATTTTGTATAGATAAAACTGTGAAGATTAGTCACCTGACAGAAAAACCATCAGCAACTAGTGACTATTCATATTCTTGTCAGTTTTGTATTAAAGCAGGTTCAGGGTCAGTTTCAAACATCACATTAAGCTCCATGAGTTGTGACTTTTGTTCATTGTGTTCGAAAGCTCTGATTTGAATCCCTTGAATTCCCTCAGCTCAATTTCTGTTGCGTCATTAAAGTTCTATTATGATTAATAATTGAGAGTAAAGAAAATAAAAAGCCTCCTTGTGTCAGACCTTTTCTTAACCGGTTGGATAGAATTAGTGAGATTCATCACATGTTCATAAGCGTGAGAGTAAGAAACCGTCCCAGTTCTTTTTATTCAGTGTAGACAGACATGATGATCCTTTAAGCTTTTATGCATGTGACAAGTTGTCAACGTTGAAGATGTGAGCATGTATTCGTTTGCAGATAATTAAAACCCTGCACCATAAATATGCACGAACTAAGACCTCAGCTGAACAGAGACAACATGTTATTCAAACAAGTGGAACATGTTTCTGCACAGCTGCAGCTACGAATCCACAGGACTGTGTGGTATGACCAAAATGTCATATGGCAGATATGCTCACACGCCACCACGGCTGCTTGTGTTGCTTTCATGTCTCCTTCCTGTCTATATCAGGGCAATTATAATTAATGAAAACTAAAACTAAAACTAGCAATGAAAAAATAATTTAGTTAACTGAAATAAAAATAAAAACGACAATTACAAGAAAAACGAAAACTAAATAAAAACTACAATGAACAATTAAAGGACTTGATGAACCATATTTGGTTTCACACATTGTTTCATCCTTTTTCAGCTTCTACAAGTCGAAGCTTTCTCTTAATACCTGGAAAAACTAAAACTAAGACTAAAAGTAAATAAAAACTCATCTGAAACCAGTCGATTCCTCAAAATAAAAACTAAAACTACAAAATCACTTGTTGAACTAACTAAAACTAAACTGAAATAAAAAAGCAAACTGAAAAACTAAATAAAAATTAATGAAATAACCTTGGTCTATATCCGTGTTGTGATGAAGAAACACAAAGTGTCGTCCAAATGACGAAACATATTTCTGTAAATAGTGGGATCATAAAAAATACACACTGACTGTGCAAACCTACATTTATTTAATTGTCCTGAACATAGAATTATTTAAAGTCGGCAGATACGAAGCCGCAGAGTGAGATTGAGTTGAACTCACTGTGAGATCGTACACGTCAGACACAAGGGGACATTTGACATGACAGCACTGAGCCTACAACAGAGCAGGACGATGCTCGTGTCTTTGTCCAGAGAGGCGGAATCGAACACTCACCAATGGAGGCTTTGGGTGACGTGCTCAGACCCTCGATACTGGGTCCTTCCTCCAGCTCTGGAAGAAGAAGATAACAGATTAAAAACACCAAACTTGTGAAGTGATGCAGTTTGTTGGATTGTCTGAACTGAGACTCATCTCTATTCCCTGCACTCAGTGATTTACACCACGTCCACAGGATTTCTAATCTGAGGACTGAAAAGAGATAGAGTACAAATCTAAGTAGTAGATCCTGGAGATCATATTTCTGATGATGCAAGCAGTGGCATCTTTTCATTCAACTGCCGGCAAGACCCTGATGACATCACTTTGACGTAACACAGGCGGCATCAGACTCAACTCAACACCTGCAGAGAACCCTTTGATAATGAGAACCCTTTGATAATGACTGACACAGAAGGTAACGGGTCTGTTTTACTGACGGGTGCCTTCCTGGACTTTGGGTGTCGTGTCCGTCAGCTGTGGGGTGAGGGCGGCTCCGTTCTGCTCTGGCTCAGGGGGCGGCGCCACACTCCAGTCGTTAGCAGGCTGAAAATGTAAAAAATTATATTTTCACTTGAGTGAAGAAGAATTTATGGAACGCACATCCTTCTTGTTTTTATAGATAGATCTTATTACTTCAGATAAAGGAAGAGAAACAGGCAGCAGTCACACACCACCTCATTTAACTTTGCATCAACAGTTTCTTATTATGTTCAGCCTTAATTTGTCAAACCTCAACTTCATATATATTAATGCTGTATTCTTATTCTTAATTGTTTTTGAGACTCATTTAGATCCAAGTGAAGTTCACTGCCTTAATTAACTCACTGTAATATTTGTCATTCAGTAACTGTTGAGCTGTGAAACGCCCAGCTCTGTTCATATCTTGGTCTACTAACCAAATTAATGAGATCCTTGTTTAAATATGTGTTTGTGTTGTGCATTCACGTTGAAAGAATATTGGTTAATGCATCATTAGTGTAAGAACTCAAGATATCTGTGTATCATTGCCTCAAAAGATGATCTGGCATTCAGACTCTAGTAGAAATAATATTCCTGGATTGAAATGGCATGTGAGCAGACACAGAATGTTTTCTATCCCTGACGTGTTAACGCTGCGTTTTAACAAAACAAACAAACAAACAAACCAGAGTATGCTCAGCAAAAAAATCTGTCTCTTTCTTCTCGGGAGCTGCAGGGGTGCCTCCAGCAGAGGAGTCGATCCAGAGCTGCAGAGCATAGAGAGGTGTGTTATACTAGACACACAAACACACACAGGAGCTGCAAAATATTCCCAGTGATGTCTTCATTAACACGTGTGGACTCTGAGCTACTTGTGCTATCACGGCTCAGACACTGATAATCACTTAACCACAATGAAGTCAGCGATACGGACACCAGACAATTACATTTATAACCACAGAGTAGGTTTGGCACCTGTGGGGAATAAAAATAAAACCAAAAATGAATTCTTCAGCCACTTAATCAGGTTGTGTGTAGTTTTATAGTTTAAAACACATGTCGATGTGAGGATCTCTTTACAGATACAGACACTTCAGTGTGCACACAGATTAAACTCAATGTTCCAGAGGCAGATAAGAGTTCATTATGTGAGTCTGTTGTAAAGGTCAGATTTATGATAGAAAATATACAAGAAACAAACACATCAACGGTTCAGCAGCTCTGAAAACAAAGCCAGATGTTCAGCATGTCTGCTGCATCAGGGCCTCAGATCTGGATAAATGTTCAGTCCACCTGCTGACTGCTGCGTATTCTGGATAATCAGCTGTCAGATATTTGTTCATGGTAACATCTGAGTCAGTGATGATTCATTCCGTTAGGAATTTCAATGATACTCACATCTGTGCCATATTTAGACAACGCAGCGTTAGCTTGCTGCCGAATCTTCTCCCTGTACATCTGGGCTGCGCGGCTATTATACTTGGCATTGGTGTCGTTTGTAGAGCAGCCATGCTGGCGGAAGAAGGCCGTCTTCAGACCAGAGGAGAAACGGGGTTAATTAATGAAAGGTAATCGCACAACCTGTAAATATGTAATTCTGATGCAAGATACAGGATCTTGTTTTTAATTGATTTTCCATTTGGGCCAGGAAGCCTCAGTAACTCACCGCGTTAGCGTTGCCTCCAACCTGCATACATCTGAGCTGAAACCAGTTCCAGTTGGAGTCTAACTCAGTGGATCTGAGGGGACCAGAAGAAAATGTCAGCTCTCCAGTGTGACGTGCACATGAAGCACACTGGACATCATGTGTACTTCATGGTTGAACACAACAGTAGATCAGAGTGCAGAGGAGAGAAGAACCAACCCTGGCTACTTTCTCACTTCAACAGTCACAGCAGAAATAAAGAACACCCCCCCCCCCATTAATCTGATGGCAGGAAGGTGTGTGGGGGGAGGGGATGTCCTCCTCGCCTACAAATCCCTCCATGGTCTTGCCCCCCAGTAGCTGTCTGACCTCCTCTGCCCTTACTACCCATCCCGGAGCCCGCGGTCCTCAGACTCGGGTCTGCTCTCCGCCCCACGCACCAGCCTGCAAACGTTTGGTGACAGAGCGTTCAGCGTGGCGCCCCCCCACCCTCTGGAACTCTCTCCCATCTCACATCCGAAATGCCCCATCTCTGGACACCTACAGGAAACTCATGAAACCCACTTGTTCACCACAGCTTATGGACTCTCGCCTCAGACAATCATCAGTATTATTATCTTGTGTTTGTTTCTTTGTAAAGCGCCTTGGGTACCGTGAACGGCGCCATACAAACCTGAGTTATTATTATTATTACAACAGGGTTAGCATTTGTCACACCTGTTCATTTCAATGGTATTTGTACTTTTCTCTCTGGCTCATCATCTACTCAGTGTGGCTGTCAGAGACGTATGCAGAATGACAAATCAGCAGGTCGTTAATCAACGCACCTGATGAAGCTGAGGTGCACCCCCAGGGAGCGGTGGATGCCGGAGCAGTCGATGCACAGGAACACACCGTAGGAGATACTTGCCCAGCTGGGGTTCTTAGCAGCGCAGTCGAAACATACCTGCGTGAAAACACATTTGAATACTGTTGTTACTGGGACAACTTCAGTGAGACCAGTAAGAGCCAGACATCAGAAGAGTAACTGCACCGCCACCCTCCCCCTCTACTTCCTGCGTGTGTCACGACTGTGAGAGATTACAAAACATAATGACAGCACAAACATAACCTGCGTCTTTAACGAACACAGACGACACTAATGATGATAACTCATGTTCTGCAATTCAATGCAGCAATTACTTTAAATCAGATCAATCATTTAATGACTGCTTATTCATTTTAATGTGACCTGTTTAATAATGTGTAGGAAAAGTGATAATTTATAATAAAACTAATTGTGCTGTGTGACTCAAACTTCCTTTAACTGTTTCCTATTGTTGAACCTTCAGTTGTTAATCGCTCACTTGTGTTTTGAAAGGTTCTACATGAGGTAATATTGGTATTAAGCCAAAGAAACGCAGGAGAACAGTGAAAGTACAAATAATCCACAGACACACAACAACCAGAGGAAGTACAACAAACATTTCAAAACGAAAAGATCTGAACTCTGCAAAGAAACACGAGTGAAAGGCTTCATCAGAATGTGTCTTTGTTGGGCATCAATCCTGTGCTGGTCTCAAACACGTCACTGTAAAGCACCGTGTGAATGACTTGTTGAGCATTGAAGCCAGATGGTGTCTGACTGCAGTGAACCTGGAAACCTCGGTAAAGGGATTTTCATCGTGGACTGACATGAGACTTTTTAAACAGTTTCGTAGATTCACGTGAAAACCTCAGACTCCGAGTGGTTTCCCTCCACAGGTGAGAACAGGAGTCACAGCTGGAGCTCAACCAGCTGCTGGACCCGGAGGTTAATGTCTCTCCCGGACTACAGAGACTCGAACCCGCGGTGACAGCTGCTAAACACCCGCGGAGGTTCCCGGAGCTTTTTTAAACCGTAACGTGTCGCCGGTCGTCGAGTACCGATCCTCCGTGAGCTCCGCCTCATCACACGTAGACGTGGCCTTGGCGTTTCGCTGCTTTACCGGCAGGCTAGCAGCCGCTAGCAGCCGCTAGCTCCCGTGTAGCCGGGCCTAGCTGGGGAGCAGTTAGCCTGCCGAGCTAGCCGCTTCGCACCGGACGCACCGACCGACCCGCCGGTCGCCACCGGGCCGTGACGACGCGCGGACACGGCGAAGGAGCCGGTTACCTTGTTGGTGGGAACCGATCGCAGCCTCTTGAAGATGCCGAGGATCTCTGTCTTATTTGGTTCCGTCGCCATCTTGCCACTCTGACAATTTCCATCAGCTGACGTCACTACGGGTCCTCGCCTGAGCCACATCCGGGACGAAAGTCGAACGTCGCGAATGATTTTCGACTTTAAACTTGGACAATTAAACAGTTTGGTGTGTTCACTTATTTTTACATTCACCATCAACCAATCAGCATCAGCTTTATTCATTTTACTGTATTTATTTATGGGGCACTTTTTAAAATGTACGGTTCAAAGAAACACACGTCATCAAATGAGCAGGGCAACAATCAAGGAGTCACACATATTAAAAGACCATATTCATTTTAAAGAACTCTTAAAAGACATACAGTTCTTTTAAATAGATTTTAAGAAATAAAATTCAATAAAAATAGAATTAAAATTCAGGTAAAACCAGGAAAGGCTGTCTAACCCTGGATTTAAAAGGTTCCAGAGGTTTGTGGGCCTCGCAGCAGACGCTCTGTCCACTTTAGTTTTTAATCTGGAACACACAGAAGACCTCTGCTCGAGGATCTCAACGTGCGTGACGGCTCTTCAAACAATAAAAGGTTTGATATGTAGCTGGGAGAAAAGCCGTGGAGCGCTTTAACAGAAATCAGTCAAATCTTAGAATCAACTCTAACACACACAGGGAGCCAGTGTAAAGATGTTATTTTGGTCCTGGTTAAAATCCTGAGTTCTGTATTGTCCGGAGTCCATCGATAGATTCTGGGTTAGAGAAGTGAAGACACTGTTAACAGTCGAGGCGTGATGAAATAAAAACCTGTTAAATCATCTGTGTCTTCAACAGTTCCAACTGATCAATGGAGCCCTTAACCGGCTCAAATGCTCAGATTAGTTTAGTTCAATTGAGCTGAAGAGAACAGTTGTTGGTTAAAAGGGTTCTTTGGTAGTTTTACTCTTGTTGAAGGTTAAGAACAGAGGATGTTGCACTTTGTTAAGATCTATGAGGCAAACTGTGATTTGTGAATATGAGCTGTACAAACAGAATTTGATTGATAGATTTTATGAATGAGGATGAAGACAGTCTTCTGAACTTGCTGTGTGATAATGACGTGAGCTGTGGTGATTGACTTCATGAGCTCTAGATGACTGATCAGTTGCACCTGTGAGAGGAGGTGTCAACAGGTTGATGTTAAAAGCGGCTCTGGGCCTCCTGCACCTCCCGTGTCCGTCTGATTAACTGTCATCAGCCGGTTCCACCATCCTAACATGTTTCACCCCTGATCCTGGAACATCTGGAGCCAGAAGCGACGTCTCCTCAGGCTCCTCGGACAGTGGCTTCAGTAGCTCATTGCCCCTGTAGCCATAGGCCCCTTTAAATATGGTGAACCAGTGCATGCCTCATTCTGCACTGAGGAAAAACCGACTGAAACGTTTTCAGAGTCTGACCAAACCTCCGATATGTGAAGTATCGACATTTAAAATCCAAATGAACCAACACTATTCTCTTGAGTTAATTTAGAGCCTCCAATGAATCCGCTCCAATCTGCAGGTTTTTCGGACTGTGGGAGGAAGCTGAGGGACTTGGAGAAACAGGGACAACATGCAACATGCCCTGGCCAAACTGGGATTCAAACCTAACCACTGTCTGACCACGCCGTCCAAGGGCATAAAACAAAGACGTGGAATCACAGTTTTTCCCATCCGCTACTAGTCTCATCAACAAGGCCTGGAACCCACCCTGACACTCTCCCACATTCCACCTCTGCCTCCATATGTCACATTGACACTGCATTCACACTCTATGCGTTACGTTAACGCTCAGCTATTTACTTGCATATTGGAAATACTCTGCATACTGTGAACACTTGCACATTGTACTGCTCTACTTATTTTTTCCTTTTTACCTTCAWAAACACACTGTGTATATATTTTTATATTTATATTGTTAAATTTTAATACTTGATTTTCTAATCTTCTTATATTTAGAGATGTCTCACATGCACCAACAACACAAAAACAAATTCCATGTATGTGTAAACTTTTCTGATTCTGATTTAATTTCAATCCTCGTTGAACGAACTGAGGGAGTCTCTTGTGCCCCAGGTCGTACAACTCTTCACCACAGAGATTCCTGGCTCACAACAAATACTCCGACTGTTTATTACTGGATGTATTATATGTCTGTCTTTGGTCTTAGGTTATATTTATTCTCTTGGTATGAATCTAATCTAGGTATTTTTTGATTTAACATCTGACCATTTGTTGACAATTTGAACTGCCTCTATGGACACATACTTTTACCTCCGTGATTCTATAAACAATATGTCTGGTCCTGGTTTTAATCCTTTCTTCATTTCATATAAGTATTCTTTTATATGACAATTGACTATTGTTGACTACTTGCACAGACTTTTACTTTTATATATCTATCCGTCTATATCCATCTATATATCTCATATATATATATATATAGTACTAACAATCTCAGCGATGGTTCCTCTTTAAAAACCTCGGTGTAATAATACCTTGTCACAGATCTGGTTCTTCCTGTTTGTTGGAATCAGACAGACAAACCTCTGGTCTTGAACTGTGACTGGGTGTCACCGTAGTGTACGATCACACTTCTGTCAGACACGATGGAGGCAGGAGCACTCGTCCTGCTGCTGTTGGCTTTACTGGGCTCTGCGTCCACTCTCAGCTTCTATGGAGACAGTCTGAGCTTCATGCTTCCAAAGAAGAACAAGGACGGGACTTTCATGGTACAGGCTCTAATAATCCTCTCTCATTTTCACAAAGGTTTATTCTTATACACTCAGAGTGACATCACAGCGCTGGAGATCTGCAGAGGAGGGAAGACGGAAACACTTCGATGATTTTGCTTGTTCAGATTTAACTTCTTTAAATTTTTATTTCTATATCAACTCGAGCTGTTTGAGAAATGTGAGTGATTTTGTTTTTGAATCAGTGGAACAGGTCTGTAATTTAAAATGAGTCAGTGTAAAAGAGTGACATGACTCAGATTCAAAAAACTAAAATCCTTCCCTGTCTCACGGAATCACTCGTCTCCAGGAGATAAATATAATCAGCTCAGGGCTTTTAATTTGATATGTCAGCTCTCTCACACGATCATCACACGATCATCGGACATGTCAGATTTCTGTAAGAACCTGCAGACTCACTTCAGAGGACAGATTCAGATTCACGCAGATTAATTCTGCTTCATCAGTCGAGGGCCAAGTTTCATGCTCATATTCAACAGTGGGCCTGAGGAACATGAACCTGATGTGAGGAACATGAACCTGATGTGAGGAACATGAACCTGATGTGAGGATCATGAACCTGATGTGAGGATCATGAACCTGATGTGAGGATCATGAACCTGATGTGAGGATCATGAACCTGATGTGAGGATCATGAACCTGATGAGAGGAACATGCAGTAGATGAAGAAACTGCCTCAGCTTACGAAACACAAAAATATTCGATCCCTCCAGTAAAACCTTCTGGAATTTTTATTTTGAATAACCGGCCTGACAGCATTGACTCGCTCGGCTGGTCTTGTTTTTGTTTTCATCATACTCAATGAACGAGGAAACTCAAAGCTGTTTTATGGACTCTGATCTTTCTCAAACGCTGCAGGTGACCTTCCATCACAGACAGAACGGCCGGAGCAGCTGCCAGGATCAGTCGTCCTTCAAATGTGGCGGAGACGTCTGCACCAGCTTTAATAAGACACGTGTCCTGCAAACAGACAAGGATGCAACGGGCCAGGGCCGGTGGTGCCAGACTGAAGGACGCACGACAGCGACCGTCTCGACCAATGAAACCTCCTTCTCTCTGAGGTCTGTCCAGGTCGCAGCACAACAGGCCTGAAGGGAAATGTCCCTAATGTGGGACAAATACATAAAAACATATTCAGTTCGGATTTATTATCTTTGCCATGTATGTGTGCAACTTTTCATTTCCTGTAGAATTGAACTGAAGCTTAATGTGGCTTGTGTTATAAAGTATCTCGTGTGTATGAATGTGCGCTCAGAGGAAACCATCCATTTATATATGTGCATAATAATAATCATAATAAGAGTGTGTTTGAATTTGAAGTGGTTCAAACTAAAAGTGATTTTAATCTTTTCACTCCGACATCAAGAAGAGTTTATCAAAAAACATAAAACTTAAATCCGTCAGAAGCAGCAGAAGAAACTTTATCGTGGAGGAGACGAATCACTTCTCTCATGTCTCATCTACTGACAGCAGAACACTGAATGTGACACTGTGGGTTTGATGAAGGTCTGAGTGAAGCGTCTCCACGTGTTTGTGTATCTGTGAGTGACACCCTCTCCCACCCCCTCGTGTTCAGGGGCTCCGGCTGCTGCTGGGAGTCCAACGTCAACGGACAAACAAACTGGACGAGTCTGGCACAGCTGGACCTGGGAACTCGCTCTGACTCACGTGCCATCAACAACTGTCCTGTGACCACGACAGTGTCTCTTATAAGGTAGCAGCTTCTCTTCTCACTGGGGTTCAACATGTGACATTTGTCCACCTCCTTTTCCCCGTTTTTATTCTTTCACTTTATTTCAGAAGCTCAGACATTTTTTTATTTGTTTTAATGGTTGTTTTTAATTTTCCTAATTGATCCAAATGTCCCTGAAATATGTGAACACAGAACTTTAACAGTCATTTTTAGGATTCATACATTTATTTTTAATGTTTAATGGTCAGAACGGTGCAGGAAATATTTAGAACATCTGGAATTCTTCTTCTGATGTCAAAGGAAATCATTTCTGCAAAACTACATGAATGAAAATTAGTGTTAAGTCAAATAAAACTCACATACGTTTGTTTCAACATCATAATTATCTGTATAATTGTTTTCTCTTCTTTAAGTCGCATTCGTAGTTTTGTTTTTGGTTTATTTAACTTTTTTATAGGTAATTTTTTTGGCCAAAGGAATTTATGTCACTCTTCATCAAGTAAAAACCACTTACTTTAAATTGAAAATGAAAATGAAAATAATATTAATGGTCAGTGTTGTGATTCCACTCAGGGTTCCTCAGAACTGTTTTTCAAGGATTCGTCTTCTGGCTCATGATCCAGACGGAGACGACGTGAGATGCAGCTTCAGCTCAGGGGTCCCGGTTCCCTCCAACTTTACTCTGGACAAGGTAAACCATGGTTTATTGAACAGGTAATAAATACACAGTGCGGCAGAGCTACAGGGGCTGTGAGATTCTAAATACAGTAGGTGCCAGGATATTTCTCTAATTTAAATCTTTGATACTTATTGTTGTGATTACTTCCATTTTTATTCCTTCTGCATTCAAACCAATTGTGTTGTTGTTGTGCTTTGTGTTGAGAGAACGCTCTGTCAATAAAGTCATTATTATCATGATCAAATCATTATCAATCAATCAATCAATCACGTTTCTTTTTTTATAATCTTATTTTGAAAATACAATAAATTGAGAAACACTTTAAATAATTGTCCAGAAAATTCCACAGTTTCACTCAAACAGAAACGCACAGAATATATACTGTATATTGCAGGAGCATGAGGATTTTATGATCCTCATCATCTGAAACTAAAGCAAACAGCTTCTGTAGATTTTCATTTCTGGTTTCCCACACAACTAATAATATTCTCTAGTCGAACTAAATCTCTAAGTTTCAGCAAAAGACCAGTTTGTTGGTTTGTTCTCTGACATCAACATTTTAAAGTCTTATTGCTTCAGGCTTTAATGTTGAATGTGTGCAACCAAAACCCGGAAGAATAAATGAACAATATGAAGTGTTGAAACATCACAAGTGTCATTTGCTTTGCACAGTTCTGTGATATTTAATAAGTAAGTGTCATCATTCATTGCAGCACCCAAACATTTTTTATCTTTAAATATGGATTCAGCATTTTGATTTGATCTTTTTTACTGATTTACAATATTTATTTTCACTGGCACATTAAGCTGTTTTCAAATCAATGTTCAGAAAATGATTTCATTCCTTTTCTGTGAAGATCAACGTCCAAAGAGACCAAAAAGTGAAAATGACCCGTTGAACTGTCTGTGTGTTTCCAGGCAGCGTGCACACTGACACGAGCAGGTAACATCTCCGTCGGCGTTCAAGTGTTTGAGCTGATGCTGGAGGACTTTCCTTCTGGAAACATCACTGTGACGTACGCAGACGGATCGTCAGTGGTTCACAACGTCTCCGCCGTGAAGTCGTCACCTCTCTGCAAAGTAAAGCTGCAGTTCTCAGTGCAGGGTGAGTGGCCCTTCGTCAAATAGATGTTCCAGTATTAATATATCGGTTCTATTATTGAGTCACAGCGTGAAAAGATGTTTTTATACGAGAATAGTTAAAGAATAAAGAAGTAAAAGTAAGAAAAACGTTTGTCACCTCAGTTTCACCTCGCTTCTCATTATATTTATATATTAAAATAAAAGTTTTTCTTTTACTCCTGAAAGATGTTTTTTTTAAATCGTTAAACTTTTTATTATAACGTATATAAACATACTAATAATATTTTAGGACCATTATCTTTCTTATTGTTACCTGGTGACTTCACATAAATGTCTCAACAACAACAACTCACCTGTAAAGGTAATCATGAGTTAGTGAAGTAATTCGTATCTTTGGCTGCAGTGAATTTAAATGGAACAAATAACATTATGTAAAATGTAGTAGATTACTTCTGTTCTAGGCTGCAGTATTTCAGTAAATCTACTTTCCTGCACCTCAAATGTATTTTTCAGTCACTGTAAAACAAATATTGTCACAGTTTGTCCTCCGTACTTCTCTCAAAGCAGAGGAACGAAAGTTCATAAACATATAAACTGAAGCTCTGAATTTAGCTTTAGCCTCGGCCACATCCCAGCCCATGTCCCCTCGTAGATTAATAAATGTAACTGTTGTTGTCCATCTTTATTTACACTCTGAAACCTGGACTGTTGCACTGGATTCCTTTCAATCAGAGGAATAAATCCACATGGCTGCCTCATGACAGACTCTGACATTTCCTGGTAGAGAAACGTGGCGATGATGCTCGACCACATCAGAGGCTTCATCGATAACTAGAGTGTCAAAAGAAAGAGGAGGAAGTTCCGTTCACAGCCTCTGGTGTTTGTGTTTCAGTCCTCCCTCCAGTACCGAGGTGTGAAGTTGGTCATGTGCAGCCCATGTTCTTGTCTAAGACTCCGTCACATGGGGATGTTCTTCATGCCACAGTGGGTAAGCAGTTCCAGCTCTACGCCCAAGCGCAGGCTCCCCACAGCAGGTATGTACATCACACGTGTGCTGACCAATCATACGTGTCAGATAAAGATCAGAGTTTCACTTTTCCTGTGCTCTGTCCCCGTTTGTCCTGCAGCATCCATGACTTCCAGGTCAGCGGCCCTCAGAACATGAGCAAAACCTTCAAGGACGACACAGATGGAAAAGCCGAGGTCACCGTGCAGTGGACGCCGCAGCCCAGCGATCTGTACAGATTCGTCCCGTTCTGCTTCACCGCAGAGACCAATGAAACGTCAGTGGAAGAAGTTCCTCTCTAGAATTCTCTGTTCATTGTTTGTGTGAATCTGAATCATCTTTTCTTTCTTTCGTCCTTCAGCCAGTCAGAGATGAGGTGTGTTGTTGTCATGGTGACCCAATCATCTATCACTCAAGGTTTGTTCATCTCCAGCTTCCCTTAATTTGTCTGGATAAATAAACCCCACCTCCTCCATGTTAGCAGATGGGACATGGACCCAACTAAAAAAGTAGAGGTTAAATAAATGTTTGTCAAAGATGTTTCTGTCAGTTCAGCTGGTTCTCGTCTCAGTGATCTGTTCGTTCAAGTGTTTCTGATCAGTTTGGATTCATTCGTTATTTGATGATGTAAATCTAATTCACTCATTTCTGCTCTAGTTGAGTCCCAGAATACAAATGTAGATCAGGAAATGAGCATAACCGCTCCCCTGTGATATTCTGAACCAATATTTCCCTTCTTGATAAGTTAATGTCAAAGTGGATTCTGATTTAAAGGCAAGGCCTCTGTTCAATGCTCACCGAACAAGATGACGGTGACCCTGGACACTGCGTCCATGCCTGGCATCGACAATAACTTCCTGCAGCTGAACGACCCCTCATGCTCCCTCACCACCAACGGCTCGCAGATTACAGGCACCATGTCGTTCACCGCCTGTGGCACAAAAATTGAGGTTTGGAGAGTCTTTTACTTTTAATGGAAAAATCCACATGATCGAATCTCATCGGGAGTTTGAGCGTTTTTAAAAGCAAAGAGAGGAATTAAGCAAAATATACGAATAAAAAATCTGTGTATGTTCTGCTCTCAGCTGTTTATAGCTTTTCTCCTATGTCTGTTTGTCGTAAATAAAGGACTCAGGGGACTACATCAGCTTCAAGAATGAGATCAACTCCATTGAGCTGCCCAACGAGGTTATAACCCGCAGGAGGAAGGTTAAGATTGGCTTCTCCTGCCAGTTTCCCAAAATCATTAGCATCTCCAGTTACTACAACCTCTACAAGTCCGACTACATCTTCACCGAGGCCAGCTTTGGCAGCTTTGGCTACACCTTCGATATATTCCCTGATAGCAACTTTACAAATAAGGTGGAGGCCAAGGCCTATCCAGTAGAGGTCAAGCTGCTGGACATGATCTACATGGGCATTCAAGCTCAGTCGGAACTTCCGGATGTTAAAGTGTTTGTCGAATCCTGCAAAGCCACTCCTGATGACAACCCTGAGAACCCCCTCTTCTACGACCTCATCAAGAATGGGTGAGTGCTGATGCAGAAATCCTTTCATTAGTAAACGTGGAAGATATTAACAATTGTTCCTATGCAGTGGTTTGACTGCGTGTCATTTGTTTTTAAAAGGTGTCTTAAGGATGAGACAGTTAAAGTCTTCCCATCTAATGCGACTGAGTTCAAATTTGGGGTTCAAGCCTTCAAATTTACCGGAAACCTTGAACAGGTAATTCAAAGCTGAAATTGAAGCTGAAACCTGAAATATTAGATGAGACAGTTTTCCACTGAAACAGCTCAATAAAGGTTTATTTAATGTAAAATCAACATACGACACACACAACATTTTTAATTTCGCTGTCATTTACGAATCATTTGATTAGTTCAGGAACTCTAAACTCTCTCCTGCCACCTTACAGGTGTACATCACCTGCTCCGTCATCATGTGTGAGGCGGCCAGTTCCTTTTCCAGATGTGCCCAGGGCTGTCAGCCGAGTGCAGCCCGCAGACGCAGACGAGGGCTGAGCACGGAGACAGCTGGCCACTACATTACCCAGGGTCCTTTGCGGTTTGTCGGGTCGTCTGTGTCCGAAGAGCCAATGGATGATAAAACAAAGAGTGACAAGCCCCTTGCAGGTTAACATGAACCTACCAACTCTACTCTACCTAATACCAACTCTACTCTA